TAAGGTGAGCAACGAAGCATAAAATGAACCCAGAATTTACTCCTCAGATATTTCCTTGTCTTCCCCCCATCTATTACAGCGGTCAGCTCCCAACTAAGAACCAAGGACTAAAACCCAAGTTTGTCAGGAATCTGATTCTTATTTCTCATTTATCTGTACTTGGCTTCATTAGGGACTCAGGACTGAGTTTTCATCCATGCCTGGAAAATATTATATCTACCAGTCATCTGCAAGTATAAACAATGAACCTCAAAGAAGATGACAGTCTTAAAATAGATTCTTTCTCCAAAGGGCACTAATAGAATATTTGTCCCAAAGTTTTGAAATCCAGAATGCCTGGAACATCCTCGTGGAGTCCTAACTAAGCAGGCATACTTACAAAGGCCCTCACAGCTCCAACATCTGTGCACATTATGGGACAGAGCTCCCATGGACCTAAGAATAATCATGTGGGCTGACAACCAACAACCTCCTACTTGACTTCTGGGTGTGATGGGTGTTAAATGCTCCAAAATAACTATATATCAAAGTTCTCAGTCATCTGCAGCTTAATGTTAATAAGCATCAGATCTTTTCGTGAAGTGTTACCTTTTCAAGGGGGAAAACTATATATTAAATGAAAAGGCAGTAGATACTAGCCACTTTACAATTTTCCTTTGGTAAGGCCTCAAGTTGCTGCTACTGATTCAATTAATTCCAAAGGACCACTTCATATTATGGGACCACTTCACTTAGGAGACAGAGATCCCTTTTTATCTTTAAGAGAAATGACACTGCAGTTTTGAATTTAACCAACTGAACAGGAGGAAATGGAATGCATCAATTTATTTGAAAATTATACTTGGTCAGAAGAACATCTTAAGAAAAATTTTAACGTTTCATCAAAGTAAAAGATAAATTGTAATCCCACAGAATACTGAGTAGATAAAAGAATATTAGAAGAACCTAGAAATGTCTGTTTATTTCCTTACTTGAATGGAGACAGATGAATTATTTTCTACAACCAAAAAGGTACACGTCCACAAAGAGGTTCTTGCCGGGCACAATGACTCATGCCTGTAATCCCAGCACTTTGGGAGACTGAGGCAGGTGGACTGCCTAAGCTCAGGAGTTTGAGACCAGCCTGGTCAACATGGTGAAACCCCATCTCTACTGAAAATACAAAAAATTAGCTGAGCATTGTGGCACGCGCCTGTAGTCCCAGCTACTGGGAGGCTGATGCATGAGAATCACTAGAACTCAGGAGACAGAGGTTGCAGTGAGCTGAGATCACACCACTGCACTCCAGCCAGGGTGAAAAGAATGAGACTGTCAAAAGAAAAAAAAAAAAAGGTGCAGGTTCACAAAGAGATTCTTTGAATAGGAGGGGAAATCAGCCCTTTAAAGAGATGGCTTTTATCAAAAGTGAGGGAAACTAGAAAGTATCTGTGTCCAGATGATCACATTCAAAACTGCAATGTCATTCCTCGTAGAGAGAAAATGAAAGGTTTTCTCCTAAGAGAAGTGGTTCCTCAGCTTGATTTTGGAATGAGGCTTGATTTGGGAGTAGCAGCAAACTCCATTGACCATAGCTAGCCCCGGCCTGGCCGTAGCATTGAAAAACACCCTGGAAAGGCCCCAAAGATAAGGCCTGTAGTTTTGCCTGCATGACAGGGGAAACGAGGGCCTTGAGAACTCATATCTTGGGAGGACACTTCTTGAGAAAACAAATATGACAAAATGCTGTTAGTGGCTTTAAGAGGTACAAAGGATTCCCAAGTCTGTAGCTAGCTCAGTAAGGGGTTTCAGTAGCTATTTGCCAAAATCAGAAGAGTCATCTAAAATTATGCATGGGAAAGAGGGCAATTAAAGTGTTATGATTGGGCACTCCAATTCCTAGCAGGAAGTACAGCAAGTCTTCCTTTCTCATTGTGGCAGAGTGAAGCTTAGGAACGTGAATTAGTGCTCTGCAACACAGGAAGAGGGCAAGTTGAACTCCACCGTAGGATAAGGGCAAAGAGCTACCCATTGGTGGCCGTTAAAATAAAAGAAAGCTTCTCAGCTTGCAGAGTCATATTTTATGTGGATTTTTCATTTTCAAGATTGTCATTTGTTTCCCGGAATGGTGTTCTACGTTTGGTACCTGGTATCTTGGATGGAAGTTCCCAAGTCTAACCAGAATCACAGGAGGAGGGGCATGTGAGGTTGTGGCAGCTGGGGAAAGAGGGGTAAGGACCACTGAGTCATCATCCCAAGGGTGGGACTTGGAAAGGAGTACATACGTCCCCAAAAGATTTATACTGCTATGCTCACATAGCTCCATTCCTCACAGCCCCAAACTGAAAACATACCAACTTTTCAACAACAGGAGAACAGGTAAACAAACTGGGAATCGAACAAAATAACCCACAGCAATAAAAAGAACAAATCACTGACACTTGCAAAAATATGGATGAATTTTGAAAGCATCATCATAAACATAAGTCACACTTAAAACAGTGAAAACTGAATGATCCCATTCTTACAAATTTCAAGTAAAGGCAAAATTAATCTATGGTGATAGAAATCAGGAGAGGTAACTTGTGAATACAAAGGGGTTTTCACTATAAAGGGACATGGGAGAACTTTCTGGAGTGATAATTATATAAATATTTATGCAAAAATTCATCAAACTATATTTCAGATTAGTGCATTTTCCTGTGGATAAATTATCTTGTTTTAAATTTACTTTTAAAAAGAAATATTATTTAATAAGATAAGAACAATCTGTACTTTAAACGTTTGGTAGCTCCTTTCCACTACACTAAAAAAATGTTTGACAACCCACATACACAGCTATGCTCATCCCCCACCCTCCTACTTGACATAATGTTGAATACTGAATTAGTCTGAAATAACTTACACTTTCATAAAAGAGGTTCTTCATTCTCAAATCTGTGCGATTCACTAAATTGTACTGTTCACACTGCTTTCATCATGTTAAAATTCTCAACAGATATTTCATTATTTCTTATCAGGCCTTGTAATAAAAACAAGTGTCGGTGTGTAATCAAATGCAAACCAGCTCTACCCAAGAAAATCATAACCTCACTTTTAACTCTTTCGTAAATTATTGTATAGATATCATGTTTTCAATTACTTTTAAGTTTTAAGAGTTACTTAAACAAATGTTTTCATGTATGGCTTTTCTCATTGTAATTCCTTGAGTCTCCTTGAATTGCAGGTCAAGTGTTTTTAGCTTTTATTGTTTAAAAAAATTGAATAAACTCAAATTGCAAGTTGGTTGTGCAACCAGTCACCACAGTGGTTTCATTTTACACACAGTATGACACTGCTGGTATTTATGGGGCATCATGGCCTCTACCCATCCCACTGACTGCCGCTCTGTGTTCCAGTGAGCCTCACCTCCTGTGTCTTCGCTTCTCCCCTCCCACCCTAGCTGTCAATCACAAGGAAAGGTCCTCTGACCTCCCCAGAGCTTTCACGTGTTTCTCAAGGAGCTGCCTTGTGGATCAAATCTTTCCATTCCCCTCCGCTTTCTCTGCTATTCTCTCCACCAATACTGTTTGATTACAATTTCACAGCTTTAAAAAAGAATAAGGTGGCAATTACATCATTTCCAATAAATATTTTTCTCCCACATCTTGTTACCTGAGGAGCAGGTCAGCTGAAAATATGCATTTTCCATTTGTAAGGGGTCAGTGCTGCATATGCTGTAATTTAGTTTATGTCTGGTTTGCAACACACTCCTGCGGTTCCAAATGAAACCCCCCAACAGACTAACAAGTGCTTTTACGAAATAAACAGGAAAGAACATAACCTAGCAAAGCTTCCAGGGCCCACTAGTCTTCAAATATATGATTTTACTTCAGTGACAAATGTAGCCGAACATTACATAAGGAATTGAAACATTTTTAACTGTTAAAGAGAAAGCGCTCTTATTTATTACACCTCATCTCCACAGATCAGAGCTCATATGTATCTTCAGGTCTTCTCCTAAGATTCTGAGACTCCCAGAATCACAAACCTTTAACTTCAACACAGCTGGAGCTTGCTTGCTGCTCTGGTTTTATATTCCTAGATTTCCTTAATTCTCATGACTCTAGGAGGACCACTTACTCACATCTGTTCAAGGAGAAACCAAATGCCTTGTGCCTTTCCTACCAGCCAAAGCATCTGGTAGAGTTTTCAGACATGGCTTTCAGAAGCAAAATGCATGGTGTACTGGAGATACATCTAACGCTCCCATCATTTTAGATACAGAAGTAGTGTCAATGAAGAGTGGAAAAGAAAAAGTTTGTGAACTTGCCAGCCTATCAACTCTCAACAAATTAGAACATGCCACTCACCTAAACCCTGCTTTGGTCTAATGGCCAGTTACTTGAACTGATGGCTCCTTTGCTTATCAAAATAGCATCTGTCAATTCTGGCAAAGTGAGGAATTGTATCTGAGTGTCCTCTTCCAGTGCTACAACTAATTTATTAGGGTCTTAAATTCTTTGTGATGGATTAAGAGTCCTGGGGAGCACAAACAAGCCATTAGATTGAGAGCCAAATTTTTCCACACTATAATGATTCACTAATGTGTTGACTGCTACCACACATTAATCAATTAGGGAGCTTCAAGAGTAGAAAATCTGAACTAATTTTAATTTGCTCTTTCCTCTTTTCACATTGAGATCACTTACATACGATAAAATGCATAAAACTTGAATTTTGACAAATGTATATCCATATAACCATAATGCTGGTCAAGACAGAAAACATTTCCATCAGCCCCAAATGCTCCCATGTGTCCCTTCCAGTCAACTCACCACCACCCAGAGGCAATCACTGTGCTAATCCTCAGTGCCATAGAGTAGGTTTGCCTGTTCTAAAGCTTCATGTAAATGGAATCATACAGTTTGCACTCTTTTGTATCTGACTTCTTTCGCTTGACGTAATGTTTTCAAGATTCACCCATGTTGTGTTTATCCATATTTTATTTGTTTATTATACAGATATACCACAGTTTATTTTTAAAATTAAAAGAATGCCTTATGAGTTTGCATGCCATGCTTGTGCAGCGGCCACGCTAATCTTCTCTGGTTCCCCCCAATTTTAGCATATGTGCCGCTGAAGCCAGCACTGTCACAGTTTGTGTTCTACCCTCCTGGAATGGACACTTGGGTTTTTTCCAGCTTGAGGCTATGATAAATACAAGTCTTCAGGTGAACATATGCTTCTTTTCTCATAGGTAGACACCTTGGATTGGACTTGCTGAGTCATAGGGTAGTCGTAGGGTTTAACTTTCTAAGAAATTGCTTGGCCAGGCATGGTAGCTCACACCTGTAATCCCAGCACTTTGGGAGGCTGAGGTGAGCAGATCGCTTGAGCCCAGGAATTTAAGACCAGCCTAGGAAACATGACAAAACCCTGTCTCTACAAAAAAATACAAAAGTTAGCTGGGTGTGGTGTCATGGGCCTGTAGTCCCAGCTACTCAGGAGATTGAGGCAGGGGGATCACTTGAGCCCAGGAGGCAGAGGTTGAGGTGAGCCAAAACTGTACCACTAAGCTCCAGCCCAGATGATGGAGCCAGACCTTGTCTGAAAAAAAGAAAAAAGAGGAAATTGCTGAACTGTTTTTTTACATGAACACTTCTATCTCCACTGATGCCCACACGCCAGTCCACAGGCCCATGCTTAAAAAGATAATCCATAATATAAGATTTTGTTTTTCTTTTATTTCTTTCTGTTCTGACAGGTAACTTCTGTTGTCATTGACAGTTTTAAGAATTCAATACCAACCACTAAAGGGGTATGGATGTCCTTGCTTAAAGAAAGTAAAAAAGGCCAGGCACGGAGGCTCATGCCTATAATCCTAGCAGTTTGGAAGGCTGAGGCAGGTGGATCACCTGAACACCTAATCTCAGGTGATCCAGGTCTGGTGCTCGAGACCAGCCTGACCAACATGACGAAACCTCATTTCTACTTAAAAGACAAAAAATTAGCCAGGTTTGGTGGTGGGTGCATGTAATCCCAGCTACTCGGGAGGCTGAGGCAGGAGAATCACTTGAACCCAGGAGGCAGAAGTTGCAGTGAGCTGAGATTGTGCCACTGCACTCCAGCCTGGGCAACAAGAGCAAAATGCCATCTAAAATAAAGAAAAAAGTGAAAAACCAAAAATGCTCCAAAGAAGAGACCAGGCCTTCAGAGGCTCTGCCAATAAAGAGATGCTAGGTTCATTGTTGAAAAAGCCTCCATTCCTGAGTTACCCTCTGAACTTAAGCGGCAGGAAACATTTTTTTTAAATAACACCACTACACTTTAGCAGTGAAATCACTGCTAAAAGGGAGGATGTAGTACAAATTAAAATTATAATTAAATGCTTGGTACTAAAGTAATCTTGAACAAGTCTTTCCCTTTGTTTCTGCTTTGGGGACGTGGGGTTTCCCACATCCTCTTGGGTAGCATTCAATGGCCAGCCCTGGCATTAGAAGGAGGACAGTTGTTCACGTTAAGACAGCTCCAATTTTGCACGGTCAGCAGCCATGCTCTACACAGGATTAAGATTTATCCTGTTGATAATATACAAAACAAGTAAACAAAAGGCACTGCTTGAAAATAATGATTTACCACAGAACGCATTTTGCTTTAGTCAAACCTTTTTTTTTTTTTTTTGCCTAAGGAAAAAGTGTGTGGGCTTATCTCTCAAAAATGCCAGCATGGCTGTGAACACGGGGGAAATTAAAAGACTGAATAGAATGGATTTCTTATGTCTGCCTATGCAGGGAGTTGCATGGCTTATTTATTAAGTTGTGTGTTAGGGGAGGATTATCTGCTTCAGACTTATCTATTACTTTGTGACGGTGATTTTTAAATATGGAGTAGTTTGCATTGTACAAAGCCAAGTTCAAATGGAATCTTAAACTTAGTAACTTTGGGAGCTTTGGCTATGACTTAGAATTTGAAAAATCAGAGACATAAGCATTGTCTCCACCACCATCCCTTGCCCAGAAAAAGAAAGACTTTGATGAATATTCTATAGCCTCTGACATAGCATCAATTATTCTTTCACAGAAATAGAGATCAGTAGAACATTAGTGCAGGTGTCTAAAGTAAAAACTGCTGCCTAACAAGGTTCACGGTCAGTACATCCCCATTTACTGCTGTAGCCAAAAAAGAACTAAGACAGAGGTGTCTCCGTCATGTGAGAAAGAGATGCATACTCTGGAGTCACATATTATAACAGGGCAACAATGGACACAATTGTGAATATCAATGCAGCTTTCGGCTCAGTTCAAAGGCAAGAGCGGTCTCATTGATTAAATGGGGTAGTTATGACCTGGTGCCTTGAAGTTATATGCCACCAGTTAATATTCTGCACCAAAGATGCATATTGTTTTTAATGTGAAAAGTGTACAATAGTTATCAGCCAGTCTTCAGAATATTGCTCAGAGTCTAAGTTAATGCTATTACTTATTTGAGGAGGAGAAGGTAACCAGGTATAGAAAGGTTATACAGAGAACAAAGATATATATTGACCCTCAAGAATGCTTGCCCCTAGGCCTGATCAAACTTATACTTTTGACCAAATATATGAATCTCTACAAAGTTTGTGAAATGCTCTGGGATAGCTCTTTAAAATAACATTATCAAATATCTGTTCATTTTGGACCAAACATGGAATGTGCAACATTAAAACATTAAAAAACTGATCCCCACAGTTACTCCTGTACAGGTAACCCTCTTGATAATAACCCAGCTGGACAAGATTTTTTTTGAGTCAGAGTTTCATTCTTGTTGCCCAGGCTGGAGTGCAATGGCGTGATCTGAGCTCACCACAACTTCCACCTCCCGGGTTCAAGCAATTCTCCTGCCTCAGCCTACCGAGTAGCTGGGATTACGGGCATGCGCCACCACGCCCAGCTAATTTTGCATTTTTAGTAGAGATGGGGTTTCTCCATGTTGGTCAGGGTGGTCTCGAACTCCCAACCTCAGGTGATCTGTCTACCTCGGCCTCCCAAAGTGTTGAGATTACAGGTGTGAGCCACCACGCTCAGCCTGGACAAGATATTTTATTAGAATTATTTTGGAATGCATGGGCCTCGTGCTATTAGAAAATACTTTCTAACTAAAGAAAAGTTTATTCTTTCCATTGAAGGGAATAAGTGGCCTATTATTGCAAAGCAGGGTGCTTTCTTCCACAGATAAGCCAGGTAATATTTGTTTTCATTCAAGAATCAGAGTTCCAAGTTAGCACAGTCTTACAAGTATTGCCATGGTTGATAGGCAGTAAGAAATACAAGTGTAACAAAACTCATCCCCAAACTTGCTCAGCCCTGGGCAAACTGATATGGTTAGTCACGCTATTTTAGTAGCCAGCAAGGAACCAACAGTCCAAAATCCCATTCTGATACCTCTTTCAGAATCTAAAAACATCTTATTAAACTAAAGCTCCTTTTAGTGTCTTTCCCGAGTTCATATCATACTTCTAAATGGTAGAGAGTAGCAGGTATATCTGCCTCTAGATATACCTAGAGGCATATGTCTAGTGCCATGGGTATGTGGTATATAGATATACCTAGTGCCGTAACCAGATGACTTAAAACAACAAAAACGTATTTGATCACAATTCTCAAGCCTAGAAGTTCAAAACCAAGGTCTTGGCTGGATCATGTTCCCTCCAAAGGCTCTGGAGAATAATCCTTCCTTGCCTCTCCTGTCTTCTGGAGGGTGCTGTCAATCCTTGGCATTCCTTGGTTTGAGCCAGGATCACTTTAATCTCTCCTTTTGTCTTCAGAAGACCTTCTTCTCTGCATGTCTACCTCTCTCTGAGTCTGTCTTCTTCATATAAGGATACCAGTTGTATTAGATTTAGGGCCCACCCTAATTCAGCAGGACCTCATTTGAACTTAACTTATTACATCTACAAAGATCCTATACGGTAACATTCACAACGCAATGGACTGAATGCAGCCCCCGCCAAATTCATATGTTAGCCCCAAGGTGATGACTATAGGAGGTGGGGCCTTGGCGAAGAAATTAGATCATAAGGCTGGAGCCCTTATAAATGGGATTAGTGTCCTTATTAAAGAGTTCTCTTGCCCTCTGGCCGCCATGTGAGGATTCAAAGGGAAGTTGCAGTGTGCAACCTGGATGACGGGACCCTCACCAGCACCTGACCATGCTGGCACCCTCATCGCAGACTTTCAGTCTTCAAAACTGTGAGAAATGAATTTATGCTGTTTATACGCCACTCAGTCTATTTCATTACAGCAGCCCCAACAGACTAAGACACACAAGTACCTGCAATTAGAACTTCAATATAACTTTTGGAGGACACAGTTCAACCCATAAATCACCCCGTCTTCATTATTTCAGTGGTTCTTGTTGAAAAACACACGCTTTGAATGAAGAGACCTTCCAAACAGGCTTTGTGTGAGCAACGTGGCTGTTTATTCACCTGGGTGCAGGTGGGCTAAGGCCGAAAAGGGCATTTGCAATGGGCAGTGGGATAGGAGTTGGTTTGATAGGTTTGGGTAGTTTTTTGGGGGGCAGCGGTGTTGCAGAGTAAGTTCAGCTGCAGTGGTGCAGGGTAGGGGCAAGGGAGTATACATGACCACAAGTTCAGTTACAATGGCAGGGTTGGGTGAGAGGTATTTACGTTATCATAAGAACAGTTGAGATGGCAGGGTTGGGTGAGGGGCTTGTCTGAGGAAGCTCTGCTGGGTGATCAGGGACAATGTCGAACGCAGGCAGGGGTGGGGGACATCAGCAGAGGCAAGCAGGACTTCAGACTTTCAGGCTCCAGGCTTGTCTATGGAGACCTGACAGTTCTCACCTCTGAACACATATTAGAATTACTTGAGGTAGTGTTAAAAATAAAATACAACTCCCCCTCCATTCTCCCCACTGCCATAAATTAAATTTTAATATGTATAGCAGGGGTGTCCAATCTTTTGGCTTCCCTGGGCCACGTTGGAAGAAGAAGAATTGTCTTGGGCCATACATAAAATACACTCATCAATAACATGCACTAACAATAGCTGATAAGCAAAAAACAAAAAACAAACAAAAAAAAAAAAAACAGGCTTCGGGTCGAACACGCTTGATCTAGAGGAAGCCTGGGCATCATTACACTTTAAA